GCAAACTGTTTGAAGTGTCTCATTATACCTCTTAAGAGACATGCATGACAATTTACAAATGTAGGAAAGCAATAAGCAGCTCTGACTGTTAACCATCTGTTAATGGATCTCATGAACCATCTAACAAAAACACACTCAAGTGTAGCAGCAGTATCCCAGCAATATAATATTTGAATTATATGAACTTATAAGTCATAAGCAAGAAAAAGGGTTAAAATCAAAAGAGTAGATTGGAAGGCAGCACCGGTCTTTTTTTGTTTGTTTTTTGACAGTTTACATTTAAATTTGTTCATTCTTATGTTTTCCTACAGAAATTAACAAAAACTATTGCTCCCCTTTTTTGTTAGTGGGGATAAATGACAGCAAATTTGAATTAGCTACATTTTTAACACATCATAAACAAACATTTAAATCCATTACTATGACAGATCTGCAGTTCACTTGTTAGCTGAAAAATCTGACTGAGCATTAACAGCTACACATGGGTACGTGGAGATGGAAATATTGCTTACATTTGTGTCTTGATTTTGGAATCATTATACCCCTCTTAACTATCCCATGACTATCTTAAAACATAACATAACACAAAATAGTCACATAATAACTTAATAATTCTTTGAAAATTACGACTATTCCTAGTCCGTTTGCATTGGCCAAATATCAGTATCAGCTGATACTGGCCGATACTGGCGTACAGCTAATGAGATTTACCTATGTCAGTGGCCAGTGTTTATTAGTTGTTCCAGTTTTCCACTGGTTTAATGTTAAAAAGAGAACAAAATGAGAAATAACAAAAACAAAAAGCAAAAAGAAAATGAAAAGATTAAAAAAAAAAAAAAAAAAAAGATCTATATGGGCCATCAGCCAAAATATCACTTGGCGCATCCAAGTGCACAAAGACATTTATTGTTGCAGAGAATGAGGCCCAGTGACTTGGGACATCATCTTCTCTGTAGTACCACAAGCCTGACAAGTGCCACACAGGAAGAAGAGACTCCATTATTATTATTATTATTCGGTAACGAACAACTGAGCTGAAAAAGCTATATGAATGAATCTTGTATCATTTCTTAATTTAATGAATACCAATTACAAACCCATAAAGGCATACCCATTAGCTTAACTGGTTTTCGCCTCCTGTTAATTTGGCAATAATATCATGCTAGTAGACAATATTAAGAAGCGAAGAAGAAAAACATACCTGCTTAACAAGAGTACTGTCTCTGTAAGAATGTAGAGTACACTAATGTGTTGTCAAACTTCTAGACAAATTCCAATCTTGATTTAGGATTTTATATGCTTTTATATGATGAAACACTTTAAAAGTATTTAAGTTGCTAAATTACCGACTGAAAACTGTCATTCTTAAACACAAAGTCATTATTAAAGTCATTTTCTACAGATCGCTCGTCACCAAAAAGAAATTACCTTCTTTTATTCTACTATCTGTAGTCTGGACATTTCCTCTTCTCAAACATTTGGGTAAAGTTTGTTGTTGTCATTTCCTACTCTGTGCTGTGCCTGTTGTTCAGCTACACACACCTGCCACTTCATTAGGTACATTAGTCAGTCAATCACATGGTAGCAACCAAAAACATTTTAGGCACTTAAACATGGTCAAGATGATGTGCTGAAGAGCAAATCAAGTACCAGAGTGAAGACGAAAGGTGATTTATGGTTGTTGGTGCCACATTGGCTTGCCTAGATATTAAAAAAAAAAAAAAAAAAGCTGATGTACTGCAATTTTCACACCAATCCATGGGTTTCCAGAGAACGATCCAAAAAGAGAAACTATCCAGTGAGTGGCCGTTCTCTGGGTGAAAATTCCTTGTTGATACCAGTGTAGAGATGCACTGATTTCAATTTATTTGACTAATTCCAATTTCTGATTTTTCGGCAAGTGTGACCTGGCAATACCGTTGCATATACAGTCAACTTAAAGAGATTATTAAACTTTACGATCTCCCCAAATGTATATCAAGTAAACAACTGATAATAAAGTGCTCTTCTACTGAAAAGACATACTGATAAAATGAGCTGCTGTACACCCACATTTACATGACAGGTTTTACTTAGCAATCAACAGCAAGTTCCCCAGAATTATATAACAAAACAAATTTCAGGTACTTACATCATTTTCTAGTATGTTTATAGCTTCAGCAGATAAACGGACGTCAACCATTTCTCTTTTTCACTCATCTCCATAATTTTCCCATAACTCCTTTGATCCTTTGCTCTTATTGAGCCTGCTGCCTTCTAACATGCTCTGCTCTCTGGTTAGCTTTATCTTTAGCCACTTTTCCTGTGTTAGCTCCTTTAGAATGACCATATGTAAGAGTCTCATTAGGTTTGTTGTAAGGAACATTTTCAGTTTCCCCCTGCAGTTTACTTTAGTGAACTTTCACACTAAAAACGTAGCAAAGATTGTAAAAAATATTAGTTGATCTGGTGAGTCTCCATTTCTGCTGTGACATTCAGATGGTAGGGGGAGACTGTGGTGTAAACAACATGAAAGCATGGATCCATCTTGAATTGTATCAACGGTTCAGAATACTGATGGTCTAATAGTCTGGGGATATTGTCTTGGTACCCTTTGGTACCAAATGAGCATCATTAAAACACCACAGCCTGTTGCTGGCTATGTCCATCCTTTTATGGCCACAGTGTACCCATCTTCTGAAGGGTGCTTCCAACAAGATATCACACATTGTGACAAAGCCTCTCAAACTTGTTTCTTGAACATGACAATGAGTTCACTGTACTCAGATGGTCTTCACAGTCGCTAGATCAAAATTTAGCACCTTTGGGATGTAGTGGAATGGGAGACATGCATCACAGATGTGCAGGTGACAAATCTGCAGCAACTGCGTGATGCTGTGATGTCAATATGGATCAAACTCTCTGAAGACTGTTTCCAGTACCTAGTTGAATATGCGTCACAAAGAATGAAGGTAGTTCTGATGGCAAAAAAGTGTCCAAAGATAATAACAAAAGACTAACTGTAAAATGTAATAGGCACTTTATTCAATCAGGCGTTATTCCATAAATGTAGTTTTATGACTGTAATGACCAGTTTATTTGCACTGTATTTGTCTACCAGTATTCCAGATACTAATATCAATTCAGCACAAATTTTCCACATTTAGAGGTTAAATTAAAAGAAACACCTCCACTCAGCATCACCACAAAGTACCACACCTAAAAACCTGAGTTAACCCTTGAAGAAAGTCCAGTTTATTGCAGGGCTGGTATATTGTTCCATTGATTTGATTATAGGTCTCAAAAGTCATTAGCATTTGGATTTATCACAAAAGCATAACTGGAAACTGGAAACTTCCTTGCAACTAGGAAGGGAGAAAAAAATCAGTGGTTGCACGATGACTGCACTGAATTTTTTGTAACATTTACTCACAAACTGCCCATTAGTTTAACATGAAACAGCATGAGCACACAAGCTGAGCACAACTCATCTGCAGGACACCCCTTTGGAAGAGGAGACTCAATTCAACTGGTTGCCAACTGCTTGTATTCTGGTTATATTCCTATAATCAAAGTAAGGCTGCTGAGCACTTAGAGTATGTCACTGATGTGAGTTCACCTTTTGCTTGTGTCAGTGAGCAGGTGAAGATTAGTACACTAGCCTCATTTGAGTATCATTAATAAGAATGGCTCTCTGAGGTTGCACAGAGCTCCTATAACAGTGAGGATCATCTACTTTTCCTCCAGTTATGATGTGGTTTTGGTTTGATTTTCATATGAATATGCATCTTTTATTCATCACTCAACCACAGCATATCAAAGAAGTCTGCAGCAGTGTAAAGTGATAGAGTATCCCATGTTATGCGTAAGTGCACAGCATTTGATATCCAACATTTGAACTGGCTCCAGCATTTCTAAAGTGAGCACTGCAGGACGAATGCTTTTCTAAAGCCGGGCTTTTATCCATCGTCTAAGGAGAAAGAAGGGAACTCTGTCATTATGGGACTGTGTTACATGTCTATCAAACAGTGCACATTTAGAGCAAAGGTTGACCTGTCACCATCTTCTGCTGCCTATGGAGAAAATTGCGAGTCACCATGAAGTCACAATTTATGACCGAAAGTACAGCAAAGAAAATGAAATGCAGCTACAGCAAAGCCCAGGTAGATACTTATAAAGTTGCCAAAGGAAGGCAACTTTTCCCCAGGTTATTTTCAAGGAGCAGAATGCAACCCTGTGATCTAATCTTGTAAATGTGAGTGACAAACACTAGACACAAACATAAGAAACGTCTGGCTTTGAAAAACAAAAACATAAAAAAGAGGTGTGGTGATATATTTGGATGAATTCCCATCAAAATCCAAAGATGATCACTAGAGAGAACAGCAGTAAAATAACTTTTTCTTTAAAAGTTACGGAACAGAAAGGGGGCGATAGTGGAGTGGAGGACGACTACCGCAATGCAAGAAAATAACTGTCAAACTTTTATGTTATTATATTTTCTTTGCAAAGTTGTCGGGAAAGTTGCATTAAAAAAAGCAAATGTCCCTCACAAAAGCCAAACCTGCATAGCACACGGTCTGTGTTTAATGTTTTACTTAGTTATCAAATTACACACTACCTCAGTAACATTTTTACTTCGTTTCCCACCTCACATTAGATGTGCTGTAAAACTGTGATCCTGGGCAGAATGAGTCACACATTCTTACACTACATTACTAAAGTCGTTCAACAAATAACAGCCACGTTGCTACAATAAAAATAAACAAAAACTGTGTATTCCGTTATTTTGGAAAACGCAAGGCTGTAAAAACATGTTGCTACAAACACAGCTGCTTCTCCACCGCCTACAAAACAAGTGACATTTGACCAGCAGCTGCTAGCTGCACGCCATGTGCAGGAAAACCTATTCATAAAAATTAGCGCCTAAATATTTACAGTGTGTTTTGTTTTTTTCCTCCTCAGCTGACAGGTCAAATCATCATTTTCAATCGAGATAAATTGAAAATAAATTGACTTACTGTGGGACAAGTTGTTTCACAGCTCTAGTAATGTGCGCCGCCATGTTTTCCGATGACGCTAAACGAGCAAGCGGCGATTGGCTTCACTAGCGGCGCGTGTGTGCAGCTTGAATCGTGTGATTGGCCACAGCCTGGAAAGGGGCGTATCTGGAGTGCTGTTAGCACATGGGGAGGTAAACAGAGAGTAAGTGGTTGTGACTGCTGTCGAGGATAAAGTGCAGCGGGTGAAATGTGTTTCCAGTTGTGATAAAGTAGCAGAAATAAAGAGTAGTTCAACAAAATAAGAGCAGCTGCTTAAAAACTAAAGTTAAAGTTTCTGTGGATTACACATCATCGCAGAGTACTGTCTCTCTGAACTGGTCCTCACATGAACTGTCTGGTCTTTGAAGGCAGAGACTGCCCGGAGCTTCAAATGGAAGGAAATGGGGGAAACAAAGTGAAAGTGAGATTTGAGCACAAGGCACGTCACCCCAGGAGTTGTCTCTCGCAGCAGTGGTGAATTACTACAGCTACCATCAGCCAGGTCCAAGTGTGGTGCACAAATGACACATAGTATTTGCCATGATTAAGTCAGCAGGAGATTTTCTCCAAATGTCAGCATTCAGAGGACAGCCTTTGGGCTGTGTTTGAATTTAAATGTGAATGTGCTGCTGGATTTATTGTAGGGCTTACTTCATGAGGGCTATAGAGCCAAATGTATCTGTTAGCTTAACTTGAGAAAAAGTCGAGAAAACGTCTCAAGTTCATGATTTGTTTATTTTTTTTATCTTGCTTTTTGAAATGTAAGAAATGAAAGAAAAAAATCTATCCACTACAGATCATACCAAACAAAATATTTTATTTTCTCCTCATAATAAGAGAAGATAATTGCCCCAGTTTTACATAAAGTAGAAAGTCTAAGTTAAAGTACTTTTTACTTAATGTATTTTTTATTCTGCATTATTTCTTCATTTTCTTTTTACATTTTGAATTTCTTTTTTTTATTATTAAATATACAGTACACTACACCCTTGACACGGGGTAAAAGTATAAACACTGCATCACCTTCAAGACTAAAAAGCCAAAAACGCCAGGGACAACTGAAAGAATGGATTGCCATTATTTACTTTATCTTTCTCATAGACTAATAATACATGAAAAACATGACAAAAAAATAAGTTTGGTTCCTCTTTGTCACTTGAAAAATCTGAAATCTTTTTTAGATAGGCTAACGTACATTTTTAAAAACATGCAACTAAACAAAGAAAGGTCATTTCTACATGTGATAAAACTGCGATGGAGTTGGAAAATTCCATCCATGGGTTACTTGGAAACTACTTCTTTCCCTCCCCCTTCTGTTCATCGAACACAATTGTTGTCTACTAATCCAGTTTTGATAGCATTTGGCACACTTTCTTTGGATCACAGCAAGATGCTCAACTTCCATTCTGGTCTCCCCTAGGAACCTCTGAGCCCAAGAAACCAGCCGACAACAGGTCGCGCCAGAGCAGGAGGGTTCTCCGTGTCCTCATGAAGCACAGAAAATTATTTTTTGATTCAAGTCACCCTTTTCCACATGCACGCACGCACACACACACACACACACACACACACACACACACACACAGACATGCACAAGCTCATCAGTCTGGTATTAATTCCAGATATATGCAGAATATGTGTTTATTCTTGTCAATCTGTTATGTTGTTGAATGTTGCAATCACCTAATGACCCCCCTGTAAGGCAACAGAATATAAAATATTATGTCAAAGGAGAAAGCTTTTTGCCTTTGTCCCGCTCTGTACCCCCCTCCCCCCCACCCAAATGGACAATGCATCACTAGGCCTTGATGCCTCAGAAGTCTGGGTTCATTAAAATCTTGAACGAGTGCCAAAGCTGTAGTCATAGATAAAAGGAATATGAAAGGAAAACAAAATTTATGGATGGCAAGTCACCACCTCACCCTGGCATTTATAATAAACAAATGGTTTCTGTTTCCAATTTAAATTTCTCATTATACTGTGACTTTTGGAAAATGTGTTTTGATTTACCAACATTTTATCTGAAAAACTGTATAATTGATTAGATTTACATGGCTCTGATTTTAATGCTGATCGCCTGCCTTCCCCCAGTAGCACCCTCCCCTCCCCAAGCCCAACACTCACCCAAAAAAAAAAAAAATGATCTGAACAGCTCCTGAGGCACATTAACATCATATAAAACAAACCTACATATCAAACAGTTTTTTTCTGATAAAATAATTGGTTTAAACCAGCATAGAATCCAATTCATCCCTTTGAAAGAAACCTCTGCGAGTGCACCAGAAAGAGAAAATGGTGAGATAGACTTCACAGCCCAAGTGAGATGGACATCAATGCGGTGTGCCAGCAATGGCTATATTAACCCATGGCTAAATCCCATCACACAAATGTCAGTGTATCCGTTATGAAACCATGACATTTAGATCCAAGGTCTCCATTGTGGTTTTAGAGGGAGCTGATGTTTGTCCATTCTTTGCATCCATCAAACCCGCACACAGCCTCACAGCCAACTGTACTCTAAGCATAGAAAGGTTAAAGATCATAAAGGTTTACATATCCAGTGTTACTGCAAACTGTTTTTAATACAGCAAGTTTTTGTTTTGTTTTGATGATGTAGGGAAGAAATGATCATGGTAGTCTGTGCCAAGATTTTCATGATTATTAATGTCACAATTTGGCTAAGAGACGATTTATTGTAATTATATAAAATAAAATATAAATAAGATATATAATATTCTTCTTTTGAAATGATTCATTTTGTTTGCAGCATTGCCAGTGATCTGTAAAACATATACTTCAATTATATTTTTTTTTTCTGAAAGAAGACGCTGCACAAAATTTTGAAACTATAATATTTATTGAGTAAAAAATCTTAATATCAGTCAATTTGTTGAAATTCTTCTAATATTTAGCCATATTTGCTACTAATTTAACCTAGATAAAATCTCCTAAAATCACTTCTAGCTTTACAACACACCAGGGCTGGCCTGGTCTGACACATCACGACCACTCATGAGTCGTTTGTAATGAGGAGCAAAAGCCATATTCAGGATGTGGACAATGTGTCATGAAGCTCTCATGTTACAAGGGAAACACCTATAAGCCACTTGGCTGAGAATCATGAGATGTTTAATTGTTGCCTCCTTACATTAGCTTGAATCTCCCCCCTGAGGCATCAGTTTGGAGGTCAGGTTCTGGAGTGGTGTGTGGAAGAAGGGGGTGATACTGGTGGTGGTGATGATACGGGGGAATAAAATCCCTTTATTATCAGATCTCTCTTACACTCTCTGTCTCTCTCTTCTACCAACTGTAGTCCAGATCAGGAATTACAAATGATATCATGACAATTTGCCATGCTCTTCAAACCAGTGATGTTTTACCGACTCATTTGCTATGATACCTTGTTACGGATCCAGCTGTGAATCAGGGACGTGTCATGGGGCTAGAAGCCCACCTCCCGCTGAGCCTGGCCAATGACCTGGAAGGCAATAGGGGATGCCAGTGCCTGCAGCATGTGCTGCACTGACAAAGCAGCAGGGCACCGTCAAAAACCCTCTCATACAAACTTTGCAGATCACTCCGTTTTTAACAGATGAGTAAGCACTGGTGCTGGCTTTTTTTTCTCCGCACTAACACAAGGTTTATGGATTTCCCTTCACAAGTGTGTGGCTCTGGTTGACACAGAGCAAAACCCTTGCCCAGAAGGGAAATAGTGTAGTGGTGGATCTTGCGTAGAGGGGTGCAGATAGCATGTGGCAGGGTCACTGCGCAGGTTAAGCAACAATTCATTTGAGTGCCCATAAAGGAAGTGGAGTGTGGTTGGAAACGACCAGCACACCAGTTAAAGAGGCCATGCAATTCAGATTAAACTTTGGCCTTTTAACTGAAATCGTTAAAAAAAAAAACCCAACCCTCAACTCATACACACAATCAAGGGTTTTAAAATCTTTCCTATTTAATCCTCAAAACCAGATTGGTTATTTAACCTTAGAGAGTTTTCCTGAAAAGCAATCCCTTGGAATATGGTGTAATCCCAGGAGACAAAGTAGCAACTTAAACCAGTCATTAATTTTTGTATGCATCAATAGGAATTCAATGAGGTTAAGGTTGTTTGGGTTTCCAGATGAGAGCCCTCACGCAATCCTAGGCCCTGATGACTTCTGCATTACAAAAATGATGCTGCCAGGACTGATGGAGCTGAGAGTGTCAGGAGGCATTAGTCTTCACAGCCCAGAGCTGGTGGACAAAACCAGAGTGTGCCCCCTGACCCAATCCACCACCAAGTTACTGACCCAGCAATCATGAGAGGAACAAGGAGAGAGGGAAGGAACAGTAAAGGAAACGATTTAAGCATAAACCAATGTGAGATTAATACACTGAAAAAAACTCAGGAACAAGAAAGGGAAAGACATATACTGACCCCCGGACTTTACCACATGCTAGCCAAATCATAGGAAATGGTCTTAAGGGCTTTTTTTCCCGGTCGGTTCACTCTGATTCTGCCTCTTTCACTTCATTTAACTGAATTAATGAGCAGGTTCAGCCAGACTTCAGAATATTAACTTCTTGGGTATTTTGTTGAGGGATTGAGCAATTATGCGAATAATTTCACAATAAGTAAACATGTTTGGGCCTGCTTCAGTTACACTTTCCCACATTCCCACTTAATGACTGGTTTTGACACCTCAGGCCTTAAATATGATAGAAACCACTCAGTTCAGAAAAGAGCTTCAAGGCTCCTAGTATGCTTTCAAATAGGGAAAATAGTTAAATAGATACAAATTCTTTGGATGACAAACAAAAAATGAACATCACAGCACTCTTAATTGTTGAAATTTAAGAACTGCTTGTAGGTTTATGAAAGAGTGTTCCAGCGGTACTTGCCTCAGTACACTGACACTGAGCAAACACAGTGGGATGGTGGCCTCGAAACACGACACCAGTTGACTGAGAAACACATACATCAGAGAGGACCTAAAGCTGTGTACACATGGTTCACCTCAGGACAGACCACCTTACAAAGCAAA